TTCTTTCTTTCTCTAGTCAGCTCTCACTTTGCCTTTTTTTTTTTTCTTCTGAGATGGAATTGTGCTCTTGTTGCCCAGGCTGGAGTGCAGTTGCGCAACCTCGGCTCACTGCAACCTCCGCCTCCCAGGTTCAAGTGATTCTCCTGCCTCAGCCTCCCAAGTAGCTGGGATTACAGACGCCCACCACCATGCCACCACGCCCGGCTAATTTTTGTATTTTTAGTAGAGACGGGGTTTCACCACGTTGGTCAGGGTGGTCTCGATCTCCTCTCCTCAGATGATCCACCCGCCTTGGCCTCCCAAAGTGCTGGGATTCCAGGCATGAGCTACCGTGTCCAGCCTCTTTTAGCTTTTAAGGTCTAGATCAAGCATCATTTCTTGTAGGAAAGAATCCTAAACTTTCTCAGCCCACAACCCCCTAGTGTCCAATAATTTTTACATAGAGCCTGTGGGCCAACATAAATACCAACAGTTCTGTTTATTTAGTAGTTAGATCTAAACACCTTAATAAGGATTTTTGTCCTGCTAACTTAAGAGCTGTGTCAACACACACAGACACACACACACACACAAATTGGAAGAAAAATCATATTTGTATTCTTAAGTAACCACAGCTACTTACTAATGGGATGTGTGTGTCTGTGGGGCACCGTACAACTGCCCAAGCCTTAGGATCAGATGGGGCACTGCCACTGTCATTACCTGTTCCACATTGATTTTCACTGGCTACTTGGTTTTTATTACGACAGTTGCTGAAACTGCAGCTTCACCAAGATAGGACCTCAAGAATGCAGCCCAGTCTGACACTGTGAACTCTAACTACCTCAAGCTAGAAGCTTATGTGGTGTTCAACAAATGAGTATGCTGTGTTTCCCTTATAACTTTTAAAACATCCAGTGGCACCTCTTTGAGTTTGCTGTGGTGTTCTGACTTAGAGTAGCTTGGTGTACAATTTGAGAACCTCAGGCTTGGGAACTCCCCACTATGGAGCTGGGCCCACCGTGAGCTCTCTTAGCACCCTGCACGTCTCTGTCATGGCCCTTGGCCTATTGCATTGTACGAAGCTGCTTTTGTATGTGACTCTCTAAGGCTGTGAGCTCTCTAAGGGTAGGAACCATACTTTCCTCCTCTTTGTACATCCCGTGATAATGCAGGGGTTTTTTTTTTTTTATTTTCATTTGGTTTCCTGGTAAGAGTTCCATAGAAGGAGAAGAAAAAAGAGAGTAGAAGGAAAAGAAATAAGGGAGAGGAGGGAAGGAAAGAAGGAAAGAAGAAAGAGAGAGGGAAGGAGGAAGAGGAGGGAGGGAAGGCAGAAAGAAGGAAAGCTGCTTTGTCTCAGGCAGACTAATAGGAAAGCAATTTTTGCTTGCAAACCTCCTTCAAGGGAATGAGAGGTATTCTCCGTGACCCTGGGGCCAGGCCAACCTTGAATTCAAAAATCCTCCGCGCTGATGGCAGAAAGTAGGAAGAATCCCGCCCGAGCGTTGCAAGGCCATTGGCGGGCACTGCTGGTCCCTCCCCTGCGGGAAGGATCACTGCTCTCCTGTTTTTTTGTTTGTTTTTTGTTTGTTTGTTTGTTTGTTTTATTAGCCATTGTGTTTCTTTTCTTTGTGCTGTTCTTCTCCATCCTCAGTAAGCATGAGAGTTTTTACACTATTTCTTTTTCATATTCTGCTACAAATGGGATAATCAGAAAGATTAGGGCTAGGATCAGAAGTCAAATTTAGGTTCACACATGACAAAACTTCAACAATTCACATTTCACCAGTTCTAACCAAGAAGGTTCCATTTAAATCACTGAATGCTGTCATTTGTTGCTGTCACCCAATGGGTGCATTTTAATTTCAAGGGATATGCCTCCTTTATCTGCTGGAGGTCTCAGTGTCTGAGTAAACTCTCTGTCAACTCCTCAGCCACCCTGAGGATAGCAGACACACAGGCTCAGGCTGGGGTTTAGGGTCCACCCCACATACTCCCACTTGCCCTTGGCATTGGCCCCATGGGTGGACCGCGGAGGTGGGTGCTCTATGGCAACAGTCTTTCTTCAGCCGAGTGGAGAGGGAAAGGCATGTTCTGCCACGCCCATGTTCAGTCTGTTCTGTGGGCAGAGTTTGGGGAACACACTTAGCCCAAATCGGTGCCAGCCTGGCAGTGGGTGAAGGGCCAGCAAGGTTTGTCTGTGGCTCATGACCTTAGGGAAAATGAGATTTTACTCCTACAACTTCCTGCCTGGAGAACTGCACTGTTTCAGATAGGTAACAGCTTTCTCGAAGCTTTCAAAAATAAAAATAAAACCTTTAACGTACATAGCTGCCAGAAAGTCCTTCCTGGAAGCTAACTTGCGCCCTTTGTGCTTATTTTATTTTGGCCAACCCTCCCTGGAGCATGTGCACCAGATACGATAACCTTCCACCAAACCGGGACCTCTCAGATCTCGGCTTTTCAGAACAAAGAATTCGGATTTCCTTAGCCTTTCATCATCATCTTATCACCCAAACCTTTCATTATCTTTTTCAATTTCTTCTTTGAACTCTTTCCAAAACTTGTCTTTTGAGTTACGGAGCCCGTAACTTAATTAGATCTTTCATTTCCAGAGGATACTCCTAGTGCCTCGGAAGAAATAAATTAAATTTCAGTTGGATGTATTTCATTGGGGGAAGGGTGCAGAAAAGAAAGAAATTGAATTCCTTATATAAATAGCACATTGTCTGGTGCCACAAACGCGTTTTCCTTTTCCCAGTTGTTTTTGGAACAATGGGTCCTTTTTTGGTGACTTTAATTCCTTAGAGATTCTAACCTCTAAAAGGTCATGGTTTGTGTTCTTTTGTGCATACACGGCTTCTGTACTGAAAAAAAAAGGCGAGATGTGTGGCCTCTGATTGTCTGGTAAGTCGTGAGGAAACAGACAAGGCTGCAGCCCAGCAGCAGTTAAGCACCTTGTCAACGTGTGGGAATGAGCATGTGTGGGTCTCTGTGCTTCTAGCCTTTTCTGCACCAGATGTTCCAAGGGGAGCAGAGGGATCTGTCTTGCTTCTCCGTAACTTCATCTCTCTGTAAGTAGGCTTGCGTTTTACAATGCTGTTCTCATGAGCTGTGCAGACTTCCCTATCCTGATCATTTGGTATCTGTGCACAGACTTTCATGGGGGAAGGGGACAGTCTTTAACTTGTCTTTCTGCTGTGGAGCAGAACAACAGAGGCTGGCCTTTGCTCAGCCATCACCCCAGCCAGGCTGCTTTAAGCGCATTTCATCACTTGTTTCCACTTGAGTTTTTCCTTGTGTCAGATGAAGAAGTTGGGTTCACAGATGACCTCTGAGGTCCCTTCCAGTCCAACTCTGTGATTCTCACAGCATCGGTCATTCTAATTGCTCCATAGAAGGGTAGGACAAGGAAGCAGGGGGTGAGTTTAGCAGCCAGTTGGGGAAAGGATGTTTGCAGAGAGTGTCAGTGTAACTTGGATTCCCACTTATCTCTTCTCCCTCCCAAGGATCCTGAATCAACGTAGTGTGAAGGGACAGGAAGGAGCACCTATCGATCACCTGTGATGGGTTGGATGCTCCTTCTCTACACTGGCTCATTTAATCATTACCTCTCACGTAGAATAGAGGTACCAGGCGTTTTCCACCTCAGCAACCGCCACGCGCCCCATCCACCCCACCCAGATGTGTCTGCACCCTCAGATTTCACTTGAAATGTTCCCTCCTTAGTGTAGCCTTCCCCAGCCCCTCAGACCAGGTTAGATCTCCCTGTCCTATGTTCTTATGTCCCCTATGCTTTCCCTCCACCGCACTTAATGCCAGTGTAATTAAATCATTATCTGTATAATAATATTTACGTGCCTACTCAACAGAAAACTACTTTAGGGCAGGGATCTCATAACTCTTGTTCATTACTGTATTCCTAGAGCCTAGCACAGTGCTGACAAAATAGTTGAAATTCAGTAGATGTTTGCTGAATAAATGTAAGCATGAATGCATGAATGACAGGATAGATGAATAGCAAGGCTAGATACGAATCCAGAACTATCTGGCTCTTGGAGACCTGTGTATGATTTCAGAAGAGCTCCACTTGTAAGTTTGTACACAGGGCTTCACTTCTATAACCGGCCTATGGATACTTAGCCACAGTTAGTTATGCTCTGAGTCATTTCTCCAGAAATGGGAATGATAGCTGCACTGCTGTGGCCATTCCTTTTAACCCAGTGATACTTGTCCCCAAAGATGTCTATAAAATACTTGGAGATGATGGATCCAGCCTGGTGGTGGTTGGAAGTGGGTGGAGGGAGGCAATGAATTAATCCAAACCAATTGTCCTTGTAAGCATTTAGCCCTATGTCTTAATAATATTCAGCACCAGCCTGGGCAACATAATGAGATCTTGTCTCTGCAAAAATAAAAAATTAGCCAAATATGGTGGCATGCACCTGTAGTCCCAGCTACCTGGGAGGCTCAGTGGGAGGATTGCTTGAGTGCGGGAGGTCGAGGCTGCAGTGAGCCATGATCATCACATCACTGCACTCCAGCCTGGGTGACAGAGTGAGACTCTGTCTCAAAAGAAAAAGAAAAAGAAAACCATCAGCACCACTTCTAATACTTTCTACCAAACGAGCTGAAAACAAGAATCTGCTCTTTTGGGGATCTGGGTCAGTAAGAATGAGCGGGTGAAGAGGAAGGAGGAAAAAGCAAGACATGACAACCTTTAGAGAAGCAAAAATAAAACTCTAATGTGGAAACTGCTGAAAATAGACTGCCTGGGCTGTCAGACTGCATGCAAATCTGATGCTAATTACATGGAAATTAATTACAAGTCCTAACTTCCATATGTCTCGATCTGACCCCTGGGGGAAAACCTGCTGCAGGTGTCTACTCCCCACCACAGAGTAGCGAGCAGAGCACAGGCTATGATGTCGCCTCCTTCACACTCGCTCTTGCCACTGCAGTGAGAAAAGCTGAGAGGAGGCTAAAAATACTAACAATAGAAATTTGATTTCTTCTTTCAGACAAAAAGCCTTGGCATCCACGGGAGGAAGAAGTGTTCAGGCAGCATGTGACTGGTTGGTATGAGATAAACAAATTGAGAAAATAGCATATAATTAACTCTAAGTGCATGTGGATGAGTGGGGAGGTGCAGACTTTCTCTAGTGGACCCTTCCAGAAGAGACAGGAGCCAAAAGACTGTGGCAAGGCCATTTATCAAGTCAATTGCCTCCTCTGCCCTGGCCCCAGGGTATATTTCTCCTTGGAGCTGTTTAAAGAAAATTCTAAGTAATTCCCAGATAGAGCCCCTCTCATAAGATCTGTCCCCGCTCCAGTCACTTAAAGATTCATTTTAGGGGTATGGATTCTGGGCAAATCAATTTAGAGAAGTACCCTACTTACCTTTCAGGGTATCCCTACCCAGGGTGGATCCCACAAGGTTACCTTTCTGGGAGTTTCCCTTGTCTTTGGAGGGACATGGGTTTAATTATAGGCTGACCTGAGGGACAGGCTGGGTTGGTCCTAGTGGATTGAGAAAGGATTTGGAGTTGATCCAAGAATGCTTCCTGGAGAGTGGTTTCAGGACTTTTTTAGGGAGTTGTAGGATGAGGAGGCAATATGACAAGAAGGAAGACAGAAGTTGCTGCATCCGAGAGTTGATTGTGAAGTGTGAGTTTCCAGAAGTAGATTTTTAAATCATGAATGAAAACCCTTCCCTGCGCGCTATGCCGGGGATTCGGAGCACATGGAGGGTGGATCTGTCTCTCAGTCCTTTTTTTCCTCCCGTTATTCTCAAGCAACACCTCATTGGCTTACTTCTGTCTTACAGGTTATTCTCCCACGTCGGTGACCCCTTCCTGGATGACCCCCTGCCCCGGGAGTACGTCCTCTACCTCCGTCCCACTGGCCCCTTAGCACAGAAGCTTTCCGACTTTTGGCAGCAGTCGAAGCAGATCTGTGGGAAGAACAAGGCACACAACATCTTTCCCCACATCACACTCTGCCAGTTCTTCATGGTGAGCGGCAGCCCCCCCGCCCCTGGGAAGCCTGACTCCCAGGATCCCAGCCGACCCTTTGGGACCTGGAACAAAGGGGGAGCCTCACAGGAAGATGGCAGGAATAGTCACGGGCTCTTAGAGCTGGAGGGACCTTCAAGGGATCAGTGAGGTCCACCATGAGCCCCTCACTGCAACGCTTCCTAGTTTTATCTGCTGAGGCCCAGGAGCACCCCAGGATGGGGGCAGCACCAGATTGTAACCCTCTGTGAGAGACACACGGGTCTGGCTGCTGGAATAGAATCACTGATCTAGCTTCACACTCATTTGCTGTCTACCCTCTCCACTCTTACGACAACCAAAGAGGAGGAACTAAGAGCAGGGAACAAAAAAGGTAGTCTATAGACAGGCAAAGCCATTTCCTATCCATGGGGTTTTTTTTTCCTACTATATATTTCTAGAGAATGCAAAGATATTTACTTGCCATTGTTACCTAGTCTATAATCCTAGCTGTCAGGAAGCTTATCTACTGACAATTTTTTTTTTTTTTTAAGAGACAGAGTCTTGCTCTGTCACACAGGCTGGAGTGCAGTAGCATGATCTCAGCTCACTGCAACCTCCATCCCTCGAGTTCAAGCGATTCTTCTGCCTCAGCCTCCCAAGTAGCTGTGATTACAGGCATGCGCCACCATGCCCGGCTAATTTTTGTATTTTTAGTAGAGACGGGTTTTCACCATGTTGGCCAGGCTAGTCTTGAACTCTTCACCTCAAGTGATCCGCCCACCTTGGCCTCCCAAAGTACTGGGATTATAGGTGTGAGCCACCGCGCCCGGCCTCTACTGACCAAATATCATCCCCCTCACTATCACACATGTAAATACATTTTGTGTACTTTAGCTCTCTGTGGTAATACAGAAGAGTTGATTTATCTCCATACATTCAAGACCAAACAAAGTGGTTGCATTTTAAAACATTTTTATAAAAAATATTTTGCTTTATTCCCCAGATATATTCTCTCTCTTTTTCTCTCTCTCAGGTAATAATATGTTCCTAACACCTTCTCTTTTACCATTCAGCCTGAAAATCAAAGTGACTATCATTTCCTCTTAGTCATCCCAGGATCTTTCTCAAAACCCTTCAGAGTTTGAGAGACATTCATTCTTTTTTCCAATGCTCTCAGGAAGGTAGGAGGATGATGTCACAGCTCTCTGGGACTCATTCTTCCCAACTCTCATGAGGGTGGATGTAGAGTCAACTTCTGATCATCTAAGAGGAAAAGAAAAGGTACAGATGATACAAAGTAGTAGAAAACACGCAGCTTCTCCTGGGATGCTGCACTCTCTCCTGTCACATTCCTTCATTTTTTTTTTTTTCACAAGCAAGGAGAACTTTGATTTTTTTTTTTTCTTTTTCTTTTTTTTTTTTTAATTGATATATAGTCTCTCTCTGTCACTCAGGCTGGAGTGCAGTGGCGTGATCTTGGCTCACTGCAACCTCCACTTCCCAGATTCAAGTGATTCTCCTGCCTCATCCTCCCACGTAGCTGGGACTACAGGCACCCGCCACCACGTCTGGCTAATTTTTGTATTTTTAGTAGAGATGGGGTCTTACTATGTTGGTCAGACTGGTCTCAAACTCCAGTCCTCAAGTGATCCGCCCACCTCAGCCTCCCAAAGTGTTGGGATTACGGGCATGAGCCACTGCGCCCAGCCTGATTTTTTCTAATTGATAAAAATTGTATACATTTATGGTGTATAACATGATGGTTGAATAAACGTGTGCATTGTGGAGTGCCTAAACCAGGCTAATTGTATATGCATTACCTCGCATGTTTATCATGTATTTATGGTGAGAACAAAATCTACTCTCTTCGTAATTTTCAAGCATACAATACGTTATGATTAACTATAGACACTAATAGCATAATAATAGGTCCCTTGAACTTAATTTCTCCTGTCTCTTAAGTTTTGTGTCCTTTGACCAACATCTCCCCAATCTCGCTCCCCTTTCTTGCTTTGTGCTCGACCAGTCCTACAGCATTTTGGCTGGGTTCACAGGGGCCACTTCAGAGCAAGGAAAGGAGGGAAGAGGTTGCGTGTTCCCCAGATTAATCCACCAGTTGGGTAATCTGTGTCTGAGTAATTGGAGGTCTGCAGTTCCTCTCTCTCCCCACAGACGGGGGTGGTGGTTAAGTAATTGCATTATCAGCCTCCTCCAGTCTCTGGGGAGAGGATGCCAATGTTAAGTAGCAGCAGACTTCCATCTCCCCTCGTCTCTAAGTGAAGACTCCCTGTTTTCCCTGCCAGTGCGAGGACAGCAAGGTGGATGCCCTGGGGGAAGCCCTGCAGACCACCGTCAGTCGCTGGAAATGTAAGTTCTCCGCCCCGCTGCCCCTGGAGCTCTATACGTCCTCCAACTTCATTGGCCTCTTCGTAAAGGAAGACAGTGCGGAGGTCCTCAAGAAGTTTGCTGCTGACTTTGCTGCAGAGGCTGCATCCAAAACCGGTGAGCAAACAGCTGCCAGGCCAGCCCTGGGCCCTGTCAATCAAAGAGCTGGAAAGGAAAAGGGATAGGAAATGGTGGTAGAGGAGCAGGATGGGGTCAGGAGGTGGAGGGCCCTGCAGGAACGGGCACGTGTGACAAAAAAGCAGCCTTGTCCTGCAGCACCCCACGCCTTTTTGCTCCCTTGTAAAAATGTTCAACTCCTTTTCTGCTAACCTGGAGAGACCATCTAAGGCTTATTACCTAACCCCCAAGTTGAAGCTTCACAAATGACTTCCATACGGAACTAGAAATGTATTTCTTTGTAGCACCACCATCTCCTCCTATTTCAGAATTAAAGAAACATCCCTTCTCCCTCCCAAGCTACCGCCCATGTAGGTGTTTATCTGGGTCTCATTGTTTACTCCACGACAATCCAGATCTTTTCTCAGTGGGTAGCACAGGATAGAGAGAAGAGTGGAAGCACTTCGTATTATATCACAATAAAATCCACTGAGCCAATACCCTTCAATTTGCTGAACACCATTAGATAGGACCCCAAGCCCCAAGAGTCTGTCTAAAAATGTAACCCCTTCCAGATGTCTCCTGCTCTTCTCATGGGAGCTTTTAGCTCAGGGCACCTGAGATTTCCTGTCAAAGGAATTAGCTTAAAGCTCGAGGCAGGAGACACAATGGAGGTGACAAGAGGGAGAAGTTTGCAAAGCTCTGGTGTCTGGCTACAGGTGTGGACAAGCTCACTTAGCTCAATGACAGCAGGGAAACAGACAGACAACCTGGTGCGGGGAGAGCCTCTTGGCTCCCTCCAGCATGAAATCACAATTGGCAGGTACTTACTGGTCACCTACTATGAGGATTCCTCCTACATGAGGAGTGCAACAGGGAAGAGAACAAGAAGTGGTTTCTCCTGGCCGGGCCCTGTGTAACATCAGCTCTGAAAAGAGAAAGGGGTGGTTCCACCTTCACGAAAGGAAGGAAACTTGCCCTGAGACGATGTTGATCAGGACAATGGAGGAAATATCGGCAGGTGGGCGGGTGGCAGGAGCACAGGCAGGCAGGCATGAGGAGGGTGTGAGCAGAGGACAGTGGGGAGGCTGCCCTGGCCAGAGTGGACGGTGCAGGATGCACAGTGGAAGCCAAGTGCTGAGTGCAAAGCTGGAGGAGACCTGGAACTCCCCTACCCATAATTTTATGGAGTGCCAGAGAGGGGGAAGACCTGAGCAAAGCCACACAGTTTGCTCCTTAGCCTTTTGGCCTATCCCGCACCTGCCATTGTTCCCTGCTGCTATTTTCATCACCATTTCAGGCCCTTTGGGGGCCTGAGATTCCTCTTTACCAGAAAAGCCCCACACAGGGCTTGGGACTTATGAGTGTGATGGGGGCTCAGCATCACTGCAGGATCACAGCGCTCTCGGAAGGAACACAAGGACCTTAAGACCCCTCTGTACCTGGGGAGGGGGCCTCTTTAGACTCCGCAACCCCCACCCCCACCTCTTCCTCTCCCTCAGCAACGGGACTAGTCTCTGGGTCCTGACTTCAGTGAAACCTGACATTTCATAGGAGCTTAATATTTCAGAGAAAGAGCATAACAGAGAGGCAAATTATTTCCTGTTCTTATCCCTCAATCTCAAGGAAATGGCTTTCTCTCATCACACAGTAGTTATCGTCAGAACCACTAAATCCCCACAAGGACCAAAACTAATGTCAAAGCCGCAAAACCCAAATCCTTCACAAATGAGAAAAGCAAGCCTCAGCCAGGGCCGCAGCAGATTCTTGGAGTGCATACTGAGCGAGAAGCAGTCGAAGCCCCAGCTTTCCCCGTGGGAGGTGGGAAGAGCCAGTCCCTCTCCAAGATCCTGCTGTCATGAAGAACTTAGCCAGCTTCGTTTCTCTGCTGTTGTGTGGCCCCCTGGTGGGGATGTGGAGAACTGGATGACCCTGCACAGCTTAGCTGGTCCAGCTCCTTATTACCTAGCATGGAAAGCCGGCCACCATGTCTTTGCCCTGGAACTTGGTATTCTCCAGTTGTTGGCAGGCCCAGATATAATCAAGAAGATTTAGTGTCATCCTCCATTCAAAGTGGTCAAAGGAGATTCATTCATGTGCATTTATTCATTTAACAAGTACTGAAAACCTGCATGATATGCTGAGTAAGGACACAGTATAAGCAAGAGACAAAAACCTTGTCTCATGGGACTTACACCAAAGAAAGGCAATGCAGTATAAAAGAAAAAGTACTTAAAACCGAAATGCTCAATTTCTGCTTCTATCTTGGGCCACTAATTCTCTGTGTGACTTGACCAAGCCCCTTAAATTCTCAAATTCCCTAATTTCTTCTAGTTGCAACTTCTTCATTATTCTAGCTTGTACAATAGATGATTCTCCCTCACTGAAAATACAAAAGAGGCCAGGCATGGTGGTTCACACCTGTAATCCCAGCTACTCAGGAAGCTGAGGTGGGAACATCACCTGAGCCCAGGAGGTTGAGGCTGTGGTGAGCTGTGATCATGCCACTTAACTCTAGCCTGGGCAACAGAGCAAGACCCTGTCTCAAAAAAAAAAACAAAAGTACAAGAGAAAGAAAATTTAAAAAGCCATTCCCTCATGTAGGTAGGGTTGTTTTGTTTTGTCTCTTGGGGTATCTTAGAATAAGTCCATATACTTTAAATGAGTATGTCTCAACTAAGGGTGATTTTGCCTCCCAGGGTACATTTGGCAATGTCTGAGGTCATTTTCGGCTGTTACAGCTTGGAGAGTGCTGCTGACTTCTTGTGGGTAGAGGCCAGGGATGCTGTGAAACACCCTATAATGCACAGGACAGCCCCCCACAAAAAATAAGTATTCAACCCAAAATGCTATTGAGAGAAACCCTGCATTAAACTTTGAAAATATCCATCTTTTTCCCCTCATTTCTCCATCCATCTCACCCAGAAGCTAAGAGACCTAGCTCCAAAATGAAGGGAATATAGCCTTGGGAGTCATGCAGTTACAAAACATGCTTTGTATTTCTACACAAATTATTTCATCACTGTAGGTCATAGTACCCTCGTCTGAATGGTGGGGCTGGTGACCAGCCACTGGAATGGTTGTGAGAGGACTTAACTAAAAGGACTGCCCTCAGCCAACCCATAGCTCCTAGAGGAAAGTCGTACGGTGGCTCTTTATCTCTTGAACAGTGGCTCGGTTCGGAATCTCTTGCCTTCTCCTTACCCCCTTATTCTACTGCTGTGAAGGAGAGAAACATATTTTGTCTTCCTTGTTATGTGGGAAGCAGAAAATTTCTCAGGGTACCTTTCTAAGCCTTTCCTTAAGTCTTCACCATTGCTATGATCGCCACCTTTTAATTACTGACTTTTTTCTTCCTTTTTCCAGAAGTGCATGTGGAACCTCATAAGAAGCAGCTACATGTGACCCTGGCTTACCACTTCCAAGCCAGCCACCTACCCACCCTAGAGAAACTGGCCCAGAACATTGACGTCAAGCTAGGGTGTGACTGGGTGGCTACCATATTTTCTCGGGATATCCGATTTGCTAACCATGAGGTAATGTCTCACTGTGGTTCCAGAAGCTACCAGGTGCAGGGATGCGATCAGAGTCAGCAGCTCGCTGCTGCAGGGAGATGGGTACCTACAGGGGAAAAATGGAGCAAGCACCTAATGGAGAGTCTGTTGGCTCAGGATTGTGTCCAGCCTCTGCCTGGCTCCCTGGGAGGCTTCCAGCGTGCCTCCCTCCTTTGTGGGTCACAAGTGGCTCATCTGGGTAACATAGTTCTGTCTCCCCTGCCAATCTTACCCCAGCGAAAAAGAAATGAAATGAGAAAGAATAAATAAAAAATATATTGGAAAATTTTTAATATTATATAAATTTATGGTGTTAATGGAAGACATCATTTTGACCTTAGGTGAGTTGAAGAACACATAAATACAAACAAAAACAAAAACCTTGCAAAGACATAATCAACATATATTTGCTGTGTATCTGTGTCATGCGAAGTACCATGTTGCATACTGGAATTTTTAAATGTGGTCCTGTCCTCAAGGAGCTCTGAGGACAGACACGCATGAAAAGAAAACTCAAACCACCTGTTGTGAGAGTCTTTGCACATCCCAGTGGGAGGCCTGAGTGAGAAAACTGAAGAAAGATTGGCACAGCCCTACCATCCTTCCTTTGAGGGAATCAACATTGCCTTCTAGACAAGTATGTGACATCTTGGAAGCATAATATTGCCTTTTTTTTTTTTTTAAATGGAGTTTCACTCCTTGTTGCCCAGGCTGGAGTGCAATGGTGTGATCTTGGCTCACTGCAATCTCTGCCTCCCGGATTCAAGCGATTCCCCTGCCTTAGCCTCCCAAGTAGCTGGGATTACAGGTGCCCGCCACCACACTGGGCTAATTTTTTGTATTTTTAGTAGCACCAGGGTTTCACTGTGTTGGCCAGGCTGGTCTTGAACTCAGGTGATCTGCCCGCCTCGGTCTTCCAAAGTGCTGGGATTACAGGCATGAGCCACCGCACCTGGCCGATATTGTCTTTTTTCTATCCTGAAGGAGAAGCTGAGACACAAAAACATTGGTGTCTTAGTAACTTAAGGCCAGAGATAAAGCGAGAGCCCAAGTATTTTGACCAATAAAGAGGGGCAACCTGTCTGAAACAAAACTACATCATAGCCAGGCATGGTGGCTGTCACCTATAATCCCAGCACTTTGGGAGGCTGAGGCAGAGGTATTGCTTGAGACCAGGAGTTCCATATCAGCCTGGGCAGCATAGTGAGACTGTATCTCTCCCCACCCACAAGAGACCTCATCGTGTGTTAAAAATGTGCCTTCCAACTTAACTACATTTATGAAGCAATACTTAACATTTATTTCCCAATTTTTCAAGCAGCCAAAGAACTGGTATTTCTGTTAGTTTGCATAGCCTTTTAACATCTCTTTGAGGCTTCTTTAAAAAAAAAAAAACAAACCATGAGAAAACAGTTAGAACCCCAGGGCTGAGAGCAGACAAGCTCATTGTTTTGGAAGTGGTAGAAGAGCCAACCCACGAATCAGAGGTTCAGGGCTCAGCGTGCGCCTGTGAGTGTCAGGGGCATGCAGCTTTGTCTGACTCTGCTCATGGGAACGTGATGTCCTCCTTTTGAGTCATTTGATGCAGGTTTCTGTAAGATGCCTTGAGCAGACTGGGCCTGATCGATCTTAAGAATTCTGACATCTCAGGCCGGGCTCGGTGGCTCACGCCTGTAATCCCAGCACTTTGGGAGGCCGAGGCGGGCGGATCACAAGGTCAGGAGATTGAGATCATTTTGGCTAACACGGTGAAACCCCGTCTCTACTAAAAATACAAAAAAATTAGCCGGGCAAGGTGGCGGGCGCCTGTAGTCCCAGCTACTCGGGAGGCTGAGGCAGGAGAATGACGTGAACCCGGGAGGCAGAGCTTGAAGTGAGCCAAGATCGCACCACTGCACTCCAGCCTGGGTGACAGAGCGAGACTCCGTCTCAATAAAGAAAAAAAAGAACTCTGACATCTCCTAGAGTCACTTAGAACTAGCCCTGAAGATAACAAAGGAGGTGTGGCTGGTTGGACTCCTTCTGAGGGCAAAGAAAAAAAAAGTCAAGGGTTGCATGCAGATGACCTCTGAGAAGTCACCTTTCTAAGAGAAGGAAGGTGGCAGTGGAATTTTACAAGGAATATCCTCTAATCAACACCGTCCTCCAGTTAACTCAAAGGGTAATTGGTTTTCTGCCTGACCCACATTCTGCTCAACTGGCATGGAAGGAAAAAGGCAGCAAGCGCCCACGTGAATTATGTTCTAAAAATAACTTGGCCTCTTTTATCTCTTATTTGTAAAAGCTCATTTATTACCGTTCGTTCTGATAAAGCTCTCCTCGGCCCCTTTGGACTGGACCTCTCCCGTGAGGTCTTTCGGTCCTACCTGAACCCTCTTCTTACCTGCCTTCTTCAACGTGCCCCCAGGAGGCAGTTTTGATTGACTGTTCTAGTGAGGGGACAGATGTCCAGAGAAGGAGAGTGGTTTAGGCAAGGACACTCTGGCAAGGCACCATGATGCTGAGGAAAACTCCAAGGCCTCATCCCTCTGCTGTTTAGATTCTCACTCGATTTGGACACGCAGATCCTCATTTGTATTTCACATAGGCTCTTTCATGTTAGTGATTACGTTGGGCCATGCCAGTTTAATATACCAACCAATAGAAATCCAGAGGAAGTACAGGGTGATCCAAAAAGCATCAATTTTGGAGTCCAGCACACTTGGCTTCAAATCCTGGCTCCATCACTTTAGCAAGGGTTAAATTCACTTTGACAGCTTGTACAGATCTCCAGTCCTTAGTTTTCTCATCTGTAAAATGGTGACAATGTTTTGCTAGATGGTTATGAAGACTAAATAAAGAAGATGTATGGAAAGGCTCTAATGTAATACCCAGCACAAGGTGGGTGCAACAGCAACAAAAAATTGCCGCAGCTATTACTGTGAGTGAGAATAAAAAGGGCTCCAAAGACATTTCAGCTCCTGTATTCACACAGGGCTGTGGCTGCCTTTCATTCAGCAAACTGAGTTTCCTCCCACTGCAGTAAGGGAGGAAAAACATACCTGAGGTGGATTCAAGAGTTCGTTTTGGTTTTTTTTAGATGGAGTCTTGCTCTATCACCCAGGCCAGAGTGCAGTGGTGCAGTCTCGGCTCACTGCAACCTCCGCCTCCTGGGTTCACACCATTCTCCTGCCTCAGCATCCTGAGTAGCTGGGACTATAGGTGCCCACCACCACGCCCGGCTAATTTTTTGTATTTTTAGTAGAGATGGGGTTTCACCATGTTAGCCAGGATGGTCTTGATCTCCTGACCTCGTGATCCGCCCGCCTCGGCATTCCAAATGCTGGAATTACAAGCATGAGCCACGGCGCTGGTCCTGGATTCAAGGGTTCTTAGAATACAGGCCAGGCACAGTGGCTTACACCTGTAATCCCAGCACTTTGGGAGGCCGAGGCGGGCGCATCACCTGAGGTCAGGAGTTGGAAACCAGCCTAGCCAACACAGTAAAACCTTGTCTCTACTAAAAACACAAAAATTAACCAGGTTTGGTTGTACACACCTGTAGTCCCAGCTACTCCGGAGGCTGAGACAGGAGAATCGCTTGAGTCCGGGAGGCAGAGGTTGCAGTGAGCCAAGATCATGCCACTGCACTCCAGCCTGGGCAACAGAGCAAGACTCCATCTCACCAAAAAAGAAAAAAAAAAAGAAGAGTTCTTACAAGTAGATGGCAAACATAAAACAAAATAAGTAGAATGTAATATAAATTAGGCTTGTGTTCTCATATCTCTCAAACTTAGGCTAAGGTTCTGAATCTGCTTTTGGTGAGTGAGAAAGGGCAGTGGGGACATGGGTCCCAGTTATAATTTTAGATTTGCTACAATGCCTTAATTCTTTTATTTTTCATGCAATAAATCAAAGCTAATTATTGCCCAGCTTCCCTATGCCTAGGACATATTGTCTCTACCTTTTGCTGTGCCTCAGTTTTCCTGGGGATAACCTAGAAATAGAATGAATACCCACCTCCCCTGTGTGATAGAACAAGTGAGGACTTCTCTGAAATCACATTGAGTTTCTCAAGGGGAAAGGCACTACTGGGCCAAAGGCATTATTAGCCAAGACCATGCTGTGCTTGAACATTTAAGGAACACGAGTTTAGGCTTGTTTGCCTGTGACTCGGTGCCTTTCTCCACCTTGTCCCAGAAAAAAAAGAATGTTCCTTTTCATGGGACGTCACACATTTAGCTTTGCAGTTTATGAGATTTTGCGTGAATTTTTTTTTCCCTTTAAGCTGATTTAACAATCCCACAGAAAACCTTCCTGGCTTGTTTGGAGAAGTGGTTTAAGTGTGTATGAGGCAGAGGGACAGGAAGAATAAGGAAGGAATCAGAGCAGGAAGATCTAGAACTGAAAGATGCTGGAGTCAGAATTAGAGAAACAAACAGGCGCCCTACATAAAAGGAGAATCAGAAATACAGCAGTACAGATGAGCTCCCTGCACAATCACTCTCATCCTCCGAAAAGAATCACACCTTAAAGGCTCCTTTCTTTAGAGATTTCCAGAAGGAAATTCTCTCTTCATAACATGTTCTGGTGTATCACCTTGACATCGAGCCAATTAGTTCACAGGCCTACCCAGTGCAGGGTCCAGGGATCAGGGTCGGCTGCAAGGAAGGATGTGACCTGGGAGATCGGGTACTCTGCTAGAAATAATTACGCCCCGGCTCACGCCTATAATCCCAGCACTTTGGGAGGCTGAGGCGGGAGGATCACCTGAGGTCGGGAGTTCAAGACCAGCCTGACCAACATGAAGAAACCCCGTCTCTACTGAAAATACAAAATTAGCCAGGCGTCGTGGCTCATGCCTGTAATCCCAACTACTCAGGAGGCTGAGGCAGGAGACTCCCTTGAACCTGGGAGGCAGAGGTTGCAGTGAGCCGAGATCACGCCATCGCACTTCCGCCTGGGCAACAAGAGCAAAACTCCATCTCAAAAAATAAATAAATAAATAAACAAATAATAATTATGCCCCTTCGGTGCACAAGGCTCTGTCCTAAGGTGTTTTCTTAGATTGTCTCATTTAACTTTTATAGTCTTAAGTATTCTTTTATAGATGAGAAAACTGAAGCCAAAGTTAGAAATATGCAAGTGGAGACCAGAATACATAGCATCCAACTAATGGCTTTGAGACCCTAGGAAACAGTGAAAGCTATTATAGCTTTCTCCATCCTTATGTCCCTTGTGAAGCAAATAGGATAGGAAATATTTTCCTTACTATTGAGGTCTCCCACTATTAGTAACAAAAAATACTAAAATAAATGTTTTCTACAGCACCTTCATGCCTGTATCTGTGATGTTAATACATCCCAGGGAAGGAAGGCAAAAGGAAGAATAAATAGCCAACTGGCATGGCCTGTTTTTGGCCTAGGGGCTGTTTTGGAGCACAAAGTAAGAACGTTTTCTCCATGTGATGAAAGCTGGCTACATGCTGACACAGACACTGATGTCTAGACATTTTTCTTTCAGGATCTTTGTTAAAACTATAGGTTTAAATAAATCTCCTTTAAGGCAAGAACCATGTCTGGTTTAAAGAGCTAAGTTGGCCAGGCGTGGTGACTCACACCTGTAATCTCAGCAGTTTGGGAGGCCGAGAGAGGGGGATCACCTGGGGTCAGGAGTTCGAGACCAGCCTGGCCAACATGGTGAAACGCTGTCTCTACTAAAAATACAAAAATTAGCTAGGTGTGGTGGCGGCTGCCTGAAATCCTTGCTACCAGGAAGGCTGAGGCAAGAGAATCACTTGAACCCAGGAGGCAGAGGCTGCAGTGTGCTGAGATTGCAGCATTGCACTCCAGCCTGGGCGATAAGAGTGAAACTCCATCTCAAAATAATAATAATAATTCTTAAATAAAGAGCTAAGTTACATAGAAAGAGGGGTACTTCATTCCCTGAGCCTTCCTATAGGAGAGACACTCCACCTGGCCCATCCGTAACCCCCATATGGAAGACTGGCTTTCCATGAGCTTCCATGAGCTGGGTTTCAAGTGTCTATCATGGTGACTATCAGATGAAGCAAGGGAAACTAGGTCCAAGTCCATTTATATAGCAGTTGGCCAGCGAGCCTACAGGATTTCAGGTCAGTTTCCAAAAACGATACTTGAATCCTGATGGGAAATCTAGACATGCCTGAAGAAAAGTACGGAACCATTTCTAGCACCAGGCATACACCTGCAGTACTCTGAAGAGAGACGTGCTCTCTGATAGGAATTCACATCTACTCAGGGCACATCGCCCCCTGGAGGTGTGCAGTATTAATGCAGAACACACAGTCCTGCCCTAAAGGCACTCAGGAGAACGGTGAGGCCTGGGGCTTACTCACCCTCTCTTCCTTTTTCAGACATTACAGGTCATCTACCCCTATACCCCACAAAATGACGACGAGCTGGAGCTGGTCCCCGGGGACTTCATCTTCATGTCTCCAATGGAGCAGACCAGCACCAGCGAGGGTTGGATCTACGGCACGTCCTTAACCACCGGCTGCTCTGGGCTCCTGCCTGAGAATTACATTACCAAGGCTGATGAATGCAGCACCTGGATATTTCATGGGTAAGCAGACAGCAAGACCTTTATGCCATTTGAAGAACGTTGCTAAGGCAGACTGGATCCTGGATACACAAATCCAAAGATGGGAAATAATATTTTCTTCCTCAATAACCCCACCCAGCAATCCCTTCCCCTCTCTTTCACTCCACTCCCACCTCAGCCCAGCCCGTGAGCCTGCAGAACCGGATGGCACAAAATTAGAGGTCAGAGTTGTCTCATGTTCCCCAAACATTTGCTTTTTCAGAAGTGCTTTGGAAGATCAAAATATATAAGCTGGGTTTCCAAAGTCTCCATTTTAATCCCTATAACAACAAGGAAAGCAAAATTGCATGAATAAACTGAGAACTAAAAGATTATTTGCCTGACAAAGCATAGTTCTCAGATCTATTATTTTTTATTTTACAGTACTTGGAGTTGCTGTTTTATCAGATCTCTTTCTTAAAAGTGGGTGTATGGCCAGGTGCGGTGGTTCACGTCTGTAATCCCAGCACTTTAGGAGGCCAAGGTGGGTGGATCACTTGAGGTCAGGAGTTCAAGACCTGCCTGACCAACATGGTGAAACCCCGTCTCTACTAAAAATTTAAAAAAAAATCAGCTGGGCGTGGTGGCACACGCCTGTAGTCCCAGCTACTCAGGAGGCTGAGGCAGGAGAATCACTTGAACCTGGGAGGTGGAGGTTGCAGTGAGCCAAGATCATACCACTGTACTCCAGCCTGGGCAACAGAGCAAGACTTTGTCTCAAAAAAAAAAAAAAGGATGTATGTGAGAAGCAGTGCTGATCTCTTAGAGTTCACTCCATCCAAGCCCACTCTTCCCTAAATTACAGCTCAGGCTGACGTATAGGTGAACCTGAGTGACTTCGGTCAGTGCGTCCCAGGGAGGTCTTTGTGTCATCTTTTATTTGAGAGATTACTCATGATGTCATGTCTGTGAGAACAATGTCTGAAATTAAACTAACAGCTTCCCCAGCCAACTCCGTTCAAAGTAGGGAAATAAGTTAGGCATTAGTTTATTGTAATTAAGAATTTGAGACTGGGTTCCAATAGTCTTGGATTTAAACGATAACTCTACCACTTACCAGCTGTGTGGCCTTGGCCAAGTTGCATTACCTCTCTGAGCCTCTGTTTGCTCATCTAGAAAATGGAACTAATCATTGCACTTACCTCATAAGGTTGTTGTGAAGACTGCAATGCCGAGCTTCGCTTTACGTGGTTCAGAGTCTGGTGTATAGCGGTGACTATAAAATCACCATTTGCATAATGATGACTTTTGTCTATCTTGTGTTTGCCAGTCCTCACTGAGTGCTCATCAAAGGACATGTGTCTTCCATAAAAGCAATCCTGTAGATGAACTGCACTTTCCTATTTAACCCCAGAGGTTAAATGACTCAAGGAGGCAGAGCCCAGCTTCCTTGTAAGACAGATCTTCTCTCACTCCTAACCCAGGATAGACATCAGGAGGTAGAACCCCAGGGGAATGGCAAGCATGGCCTGGCTGGCATGGTGGGAGTTGCCCAGGGGATCCAGGCAACAAGTCATGATTGGGGGTCAATGAGTTTAACAACACTCCCTGCCAAGTGCTTCTCAGTTCTCTGAGTCCCTCCTAAGGAAATATGTTCTCTCCACACTAACTTGAGTGTCTTACTTGGTTCTAAGTAAGGCAAGTTGATGAAGCCTCCTTGTGTTCTCTGAAGCTGGGTGAGCTGCCTGGCCGCTCGGGCTTAGCACAGGCCTGGCGTGTTGCAGGGAGAAACCAGCTCTCCTGATGCTTGAGATGTTCTGGATCTTAGACCCGGCTTCCTCCCTCCACTGTTCTGAGCAAGAAGCATCTGACTATTGTCTTACTGGAACTGGCAGCTCCACGCTGTCTCAGAGTGAGTCAGGTCCTTTGATTATAATGACAGTTAAGAAGGGAAAGAGGCTGGCATTCGTCTTGCCACGGGAGCCGAAGGAGGGAGAGAAGGAATCCTATCAGTATCTTCACAGCTGCAATAAAGTAAAGAAACAGACATGTACACGCAAGATGTCAGCACAATTCTAGGTAGCCAGACGTTTTGCACCCTGAAGCTTTGATGAGTCAGACAATAAAACTGGATTTTCTTTTTTTTTTTTTTTTATTTTTTCTGAGATGGAGTCTCACTCTGTCGCCCAGGCTGGAGTGCAGTGGTGTGATGTCAGCTCACTGTAACCTCCGCCTCCTGGGTTCCAGTGATTCTCCTGCCTCCGCCTCCTGAGTAGCTGGGACTTCAGGTGTGTGCCACCATACCCAGATAATTTTTGTATTTCTAATAGAGACGGGGTTTCACCATGTTGACCAGGCTGGTCTTGAACTCCTGACCCCAGGTGATCCACCTGCCTCAGCCTCCCAAAGTGCTGGAATTACAGACGTGAGCCACCGTGCCCAGCCAAACTGGATTTTCTTGAACTGTGTGATGTTTGGAAGGGTCTTAGTTTAAAATAAAGTAGAATAGCTGGTCTCTTATACCGTGTGAACGGCACAAGATTTCCTTGGGCTACAGTTACTTAAATTTTTCCATAACAGGTTTCACTTGGCAACATATTCAGATGGACTGATACAGGTTTCCTGGTTCCCACTCTGACCTACTGAATCACAGCCTGTGAGGAGCAGAACCCCAGCATGAGTGTTTTTTTTTTTAAAGTCCCCTGGTGATTCTGATATGCACAAGTATTCAAAATCAGTTTTTCAGGGCATGAGACTTCTGAGACCTTCGTTTCTAAGTAGATAGAACGAGTCTGTCACTTCTAGTGAAAAAGCAGCCACTTCTGAAAGTGAACAGGGTGCTAAGATAGTTAAAATCACATAATTTTTGGAACAAAAATTTACCAACAACCAGTTAGCTGTATTATATTTGTGAATATAAAAAGTTATTTTCAAAAATAAAATTCTGGGCCAGGTGCGGTGGCTCACGCCTGTAATCCCAGGATGACTTCGGGAGGCCAAGTGGTCAGATCACCTGAGTTCAGGAGTTCGAGACCAACCTGGCCAACATGGTGAAACCCCGTCTCTACTAAAAATACAAAAATTGCCGGGCGTGGTGACACACGCCTGTAATCCCAGCTACTCCAGAGGCTGAGTCAGGAAAATCGCTTGAACCTTCAGGGTGGAGGTTGCAGTGAGCCGACATCGTGTCATTGCACTTCAGCCTGGGTGACAAAAGTAACACTCCATCTCTAAAATAAAATTCTGATAATACAATGTTAAAAGTGAATAATCCAAAACAGGTGGTAGCCCAGACAGGTTGCTGGGTCAGCAGATGCAAGCCAGGAGTATATGGAGCAAACTGGGATAGATAGCTACCCAAATTGTAAAGAAGCAAGAAATCTATAAAATTTAAATGTTTCCCCTGGACTCTGCTCAGTGATTTCCAAAGATGTTCACTGGATTTGCCTAACAACCACATTTAAATTGCAATGTTTATTAGATAAAGCTTTGTGGAAGTCTTACTATTGACAACAATTTAAACTTGGCAGGTTTTGACTGTCTTCCTTTCAGCAAGACCTCTTTTTAGGCTTCTGTAGCTATAGTGTTACACTCAGAAATGAGAGTTCTTGGCTCCCAGCTCTAAACATCTGGTGAGAATGGTCTTCTCTGAAATAATTCTATTTGTAATCATCTTGTTGGAGGTGTGATTGAGGGGAGATAGGGTTTGGAGACTGAAGAGGGTAGAATAGGGGACTTTGGCACAATGTTTCCTTGACCGTTAGGAGCCACTGGCTAAGTGGTGGAGATGGTGAAAAGACCCCCCTATCACTCTTCACTTCAGATGGAAATTACCACGGGAAATATTAAAGGCAACAGGGATCATAGATTTCTTTTGAACCAGAAAAATAGCTGCAAACAAATAATTGATACATTGTTATTCTTGAACTTGTCTTTGGCGTGAACCATGCATGGCACAAAATCACTAGGACCCATCCCTGCCCAAAGGAATGAATATATCTGTCCTCAGTGCAGAAATCCATCTACCTCTAATTTATTTATTTACTTATTTTTATTTTTATTTCTTTTTGAGATGGAGTTTCACCCTACCGCCCAGGCTGGAGTGCAGTGGTGCGATCTTGGCTCACTGCAACCTCTACCTCCCAGGTTCAAGCGGTTCTCATACCTCAGCCTCCCGAGTAGCTGAGACTACAGGCACACATGACCACGCCCAGCTGATTTTTTGTATTTTTAGTAGAGGTGGGGTTTTGCCATGTTGGCCAGGCTGGTCTCGAACTCCTGACCCCAAGTGATCCACCTGCCTTGGCGTCCCAAAGTGCAGGTGTGAGTCACCACGCCCAGCCTACCTCTAATTTATTAACTGCAAGTCTTCAGTATAAAAGAAGGTATTCTTCCTTTAGGAATGGGACCACTCCGGCTCAGCTTCCCTCATCATTGCGCTACCCACAGAGGGCGTTGAGTTAATTCCCACACTCCTGTTGAGCCCAGGAGGAAGTGCTGATGACTGCTGGCCAGAGCGTTCACACCTTCCTTATCTTCCTCTGCAGTTCTTACTCAATCTTAAATACATCATCGTCCAACTCTCTCACATTTGGGGATGGAGTATTGGAGAGGCGGCCGTATGAGGACCAGGGGCTCGGGGAGACGACTCCTCTTACTATCATCTGCCAGCCCATGCAGGTAAGGCCGATTGTTAGGGTCACACCCCCAACTCTAACCAGGATTCACTGAGAACCTATTTATTAAATATGAGGCATTGCCCTTGCTATCTCCAAAGGTTCCATGATCTCTTGGGAAGAAAGGACACCAAATTATAAAAGATATACAAAAATTCAAGGCTGGGAAGAGTCAGATGAGCAATACTGACAGTTACTTCCAACATTTGAACCTAGGCTCATAAGGAAGGTTGTTCCACAGACATAGGAGGAAATTTTCTCTCTAAAGTAGGAATAATGCCCATAGTTGTATCTGTTTTGTAGTTTGTCACAAAGATAAAAGAAAATAATAAAATAAGGCTGGCACAATAACTGGCATATAATGAGTGCTCAGTACGTGTTAACTTTTTCAAGAAAGGTTGGAGATGGAAGGAGGCAGGGAGTCGCTGTTGAACAGTACAAATAGAGGCAAGCTGAAAGTTCAAGCATGTTGAGGATCAAGAGAGTGGACCATTGTGGCTGGAGCCCAGGATTTGAATGAAGGAACAATAGGAAAAGAGATGGGAAGGATCATACCACCATTCCACGTATTAACCTTGTCAGGGCCACTAGAAGCAAATGTGAAGTGCTGGCCAGCACTAAGGAAACGGGAAAAGCTGACTATATCAGAAAGAAGGAATGCAGAAACGTCTGTAAGGTTCCATCCAGCAGTTATAGAAGCCAAAGTCATTTGGACAAGCCTTTGACTCGATTTGCCTGTGTCATCACCCAGAGGTAGCAGTTGTCTCATTTTGGGGATCACCAACATATATATAGTCAGACAGCAGAGCCTACATTGTGATTAGAATCGGAAAACAGGGTCTCGTTGCTGGAGTGGACCATGAGGACCATGTGATCTGGCCACACACTTTAGAGAAAAGGTAGACACATTTGTGATCACAGAAGCCCTCACTCCCTGAAGAAGTTGATGAATCGCCCCTTCTGGGCGGGGGAAGATGTCCCACTAGATGGCTGTCTCTACATGAATGGCTAGTTTTGCCTCTGAGCTGTAACTGAAAGTGTACAGCATGTTTTAGTAATGGCCAAATGCTACTCCTACACAGGGCGGCTGTAGCAACAATAATGCCCTTTTCACAACCCTCCTCATTTTATAAAGACATGCAGTTTATCTTATTTGAGCCTCAAAATAATTTATGAGGTCTGTAGGATGAGTCTTACTGTCCTCACCTAGTCACACCTTGGCAGAACTTTGGTAGGAGAGCTCCGCTCACCTGGCACCTGGCTCCAAGACATGTCCACTTTGCCATGTGAGTCTTCACTAATAGCCTTTCTTTCTCTGTAGCCGCTGAGGGTCAACAGCCAGCCTGGCCCCCAGAAGCGATGCCTCTTTGTGTGTCGGCATGGTGAGAGGATGGATGTTGTGTTTGGGAAGTACTGGCTATCCCAGTGCTTCGATGCCAAAGGTGAGTTGTTGGTGGGCCTGCTCAGCACTGCCATACCCATAGTGGCCTCTAGGGGGCACAGTCAAGCTACGGTTATCCGGATGGAGTCATTTATAGTTTTGTGTACTATAGAAAATGTCTGTTATCCGTAAGCCCCTCCTGATTGTCTTGAGCTTTAGGGAAGAAGTAAGTGTTCTTGTCCCCATTCTATAAACTTGGATGCCAGGACTAAAGAAGACAGATGTCTTGCCCAAGGCCACATGGCAAAGTCAGCAGCAGCAACGTGCCCTAATCCCATGGCCAGAGCTCCTGCCATTAAACCTCCCGGGTTCGCTGGGTTCCATTTTCACTTGAGTGGCATTTGAAGACACGGAGGCTTGCCTGACCAGGGAATCTCACCTGCCTTAGGGTGCATGGTTATTACCTTCACTGAGAAACTACCTCATGTCACTTTTGTCAGTAGAATGGAAGAGTGAATTCCAAGTCACTTTATGAAACAAAATATCAGCCTTGATATTTTCCATCAGCTCCAGAGAGCTCAATGTGATCTCTTTGGCCAAGAAGGAATGGGGGTGGAGAATGTCAGGATCAGTAAGGGAGTCCCAAGTAAACAAGAAATGTATGTATCCTCTGTCTAACTTTTTTATTTTTCAGGCCGCTACATACGGAGCAACCTGAACATGCCTCATAGTTTACCTCAGCGGAGTGGTGGTTTCAGAGATTACGAGAAAGATGCTCCCATCACTGTGTTTGGATGCATGCAAGCGAGACTAGTGGGTAAGTATCCTGGAGTGACTGTACTCCAGGCATTTCCTGCCGCCTCCTTCAAAACGCTGGTACCATGGATATGCGGGACCCTTCCTGGGGGCTTCTATAACTTTCCTACAAGTAATAAATTTCTTCAATTCAAAAGGAACTTGCTACACAACCATTAAGTTTAGGACACTGTGCTCAGCCCTGGGTTGGTTGACCAAAGTGAATGAGGTGTGGTCCTTATTGAGGACCTCGTGATCCAGTAATGGCTTGGGTTACTGTGCTCACTGTTGGATGTAGCAGACAGGTCAGCCTCTAGTTCAAGACAGCAGCATCTGCCAGCATGGCTGTGGAAGAGGACAAGAGTGAAGAAGACGGACCTGGACTTGCTGAATTTATAAAGGCCAACTGATCCTTTGAAGATGCCCAGCTCTTTGCAAGCCCATTCCATTACTGCCGCGGGGAGATAGTACTTTCCTGTTCAGTCACTTAGCAGATATGTAGTGCTCACTTACCTTGTGCAAGGTATTGGACTAAGGGAACCCAAGTGTGAGTCAGGGAAACAAACTTATGTGTGGATAAATATCATACAATATGATATACATAGAGCTATGCGTGGTCACCAAATATTATGGGAACACAAAAAGACATCTAAGAGGTGAAGAGGTGAGCTGGGAGCTGAAGTGGAAGTTAGCTGGGCAAAGAAGGAGCAGGAGTGAGGAAATGGCATTCTCAGTGGGAGGGACCACATAAACTGTGTCTGAGGCTTGAGAAACAGCCTCAGGAATGCAGGGGAAACAAAGTGCCTTGTGTCTAGAGTATAAATTGCAAGGCAAGGCAGAGATGAGGCTGGCAAGATGGATAAAGGCAAGTTCATGGAAGACCTTGATCACCATATTAAGGTGCTCGGATTTAATCCAGTAGACAAAATAACTGGTTTCCAGGCCCGGCGTGGTGGCTCTCACCTACTATCTAGCACTTTGAGAGGCTGAGGCAGGAGGACTGCTTGAGACCTGAAGTTTGAGGCTGCAGCGAGGTATGATCGCACCCCTGCACTCCAGCCTGAATGACAGAGCAAAACCCTATCTCTGAAAATTAAATTAAGAAGAATAATAAATTTTTTAAAGAAGTGGATTTTATGAGGATAGCATTAAAGTATGAGGTGTTGGGATTTATCTCTGGTGTCTAAGAATATGACATGTTGAGATTTTGGTTAGCACAGAATAAAATTAAAACAAGACCTAATATTCATAAAATAAATCCTCTTTCACAAACTTGAAGCCAAAGTATTGTCCTGTTTCTTAATATCTCCTAGCTAAAGGCTTTACCACTTGTTAGCACCAGAGGGAAGGGAAAGAAAAGACAAGAAGGGCTCTGTCACTTGCTCTCACAGGAACACCGATGAGGGGTTTTGTTAGAAACTAACAAAGGCTGACACTACTGGCTCTATGTGAGCCCCAGTTAGGAAAGAAGGGTTTGCAGGGGCTTACTGCTTGGCCCCCTCTCACACTGCGAATCGAGGTGAGACTGAGTAAATCCATCAGACTGATTTGTGGTTTTCTTTGCAGGCGAAGCCTTATTAGAGAGCAATACCATTATCGATCATGTCTATTGCTCCCCGTCCCTTCGCTGCGTTCAGACTGCACACAATATCTTGAAAGGTAAGACTTGCAGGTTGACAAAAACAAGTAGTCCATCCCTCTGTTTCTAGGCAGCCCCACACATAAATTATCTTAGAATCATGGGACATTTGCCAGTTGAAAGCTTCGAATTTGGAATGAAGCAAGGATTCTTTCAGAAGGCGATCTTTGCCCAAGTCACAAAAACATACTCTGGCAGCCTAAGCGAAATAAGAGGAAGTATACTAGTCATGTTTTCTTTGAGAATTTAAAGCGCTCTTGGATGAATCCTAGGCTTGCAAAATGTTCAGAGCTTATAGAGTGTGATCCTTTCTTTACACTTAATAGTCAAATAACTTTCCTGTTTTGATCTGTTGTTTGCCTCCTGTGGTGCTCCTAGGAGCCTCAAATCTTAATCATCATTTTTTCTTTACTTAATTGGAGAGACTTTAAAAGCATCATTGCTACCAAGATACTCAACTCTCACCCTAAAATCTGTGGAAGCATGAGTTACATGGGAAGGAAAACTAAAAGGAACAGGATTAGACTGTTTACTTCTACCAAAGAAATGAATGAGCCAGAAATAAGCCAACAAAGAACTTGACACTACATCTGAGTCTTCTATCCTTTAACCTTAAGTAGACCTCTTCACTACCAGAAGGCATTTATGTATTCAATTTGCACAGAACAACTGGACTGCATGCAATATGACGATAACTAAGCAGGGACCATTTCTAGGAAGCCAGCTGCACTACAGTAAAACACACGGCTTCTGCACTGCTACTAGTAAATGTTCAGCATTCGATTTTCTGGTAGAGAAAATGAACAATTTACATGATATTCAAATACGATGTTGGATACTCAGAAACTATCTGAAGTTTCTTGGTAACACCATCATGGAATTTGCCTTAGAAAGAGGAATTATGGGGGCCAGGTGCGGTGGCTCATGCCTGTAATCCCAGCACTTTGGGAGGCCACCGAGGTGGGCGGTTCACGAGGTGAGGAGATCAAGACCATCCTGGCTCACACGGTGAAACCCCGTCTCTACTAAAAATAAAAAATAAAAAAAAGAGCTGGGCATGGTGGCAGGCGCCTGTCATCCCAGCTACTCAGGAGGCTGAGGCCGGAGAATCACTTGAACCCAGGAGGCAGAGATTGCAGTGAGCCAAGATTGGGCCACTGCACTCCAGCCTGGGTGACAGGGCGAGACTCCGTATCAAAAACAAACAAACAAACAAACAAAACAGAAAAAAGAAAGAAAGAGGAATTATGGTAGTCACAGAATTGAATAAATTTTCTTTTTTTGAGATAGAATCTCACTGTGTCACCAAGGCTGGAGTGCAGTGGCACAATCTTGGCTCACTACAACTTTCGCCTCCAGGGATCAAGTGATTCTCCTGCCTCAGCCTCCTGAGTGCTGGGACCACAAGTGTATGCCACCACACCCTGCTAATTTTTGTGTTTTGGGTAGAGATGGGGTTTCACCATGTTGGCCAGCCTGGTCTCAACTCCTAATCTCAAGTGATCCGCTCTTCTCAGCCTCCCAAAGTGTTGGGATTACAGGTGTGCGCTACCAAACCCAGCCTTGAATAAATTATATGAACAATGACTTGTGGCTTTTTTCCTTAAGTCAGATATGACTTAAAGCCAGCATACATCCTCGGAGTATGGCAGGAGTATGAAACTCACGTGTTAGTAATGCACAAAAATTAAAAACCTTGTCCAAATCCACATGCTTCCACTTCTGTTTAGCTATGTATAGCAGCCAGTAGGAAAGAGAATAACTGATTTATCAGAATTTTTATAACAATTTGGCCTGAGAATATAGAGGCACTTCCTTCATCTTCACTGTATTTTACCCCTAAGGTTTACAACAAGAAAATCACTTGAAGATCCGTGTAGAGCCCGGCTTATTTGAGTGGACAAAATGGGTTGCTGGGAGCACGTTACCTGCATGGATACCTCCATCGGAGTTAGCTGCAGCCAACCTGAGTGTTGATACAACCTACAGGTAAGCCTGGGAAACTGCTGCTTACTGAGGCCAGTGTGGAAGTGCTTTCTGCACTAGCACTAGGCCAGGTTCATGAAGGAGACAGGGCTGGACATCACCTACAGGCAGTTGTCCATAGTGGTGGAAATCGAGCTACGATTTTAGAAATCAAAACTGGAGAAAAGCCAGCATTTTTTTCATATTTGGCATTAGTGTGGATTAGATTCTCCAGCCTCACCCCCGTGTTGGATTTTTCTGACTTTATTATACCTGCTTCACTGTAATAAAACCATTTTGCATTCCAGCAATAAGCACCAGCTAATGATGATGCAGTTGAGAAGACTGGAGCGATAAGGGAGATGACGATGTCTTGCAGTTTCTACATTTAATTTTTCAAAGCATTTTTAAATCTCTGTATTACCTTTGTTTATTATTGCTATATGCTCAGAATGTAGGTAAACCACTTTTATATATGAGAGAGTTCAAATAACTTGCCTAAAAGTATTTATACATTTAGTGACCACATATAACAATAATAATAATAAGCTTTATTCATCATTTTCCACATGTCCAGCCCCATGCAATCTTCTGGGCAGTCATCCCATTCCTGTTCCTTTCCTTTTTCCATTAGACCCAACTGTGCTGGGATTTTAAAAAGTGTTTGTAGATTGCTTACAGCTGAAAAATCCGCATGTACACAATTAAGAATTAATAATAGGGCCAGGCTGGGTGGATCACGAGGTCAAGAGATCGAGACCATCCTGGCCAACATGGTGAAACCCCATGTCTGCTGAAAATATAAGAATTAGCTGGGTGTGGTGGTGCGCACCTGTAGTCCCAGCTACTTGGGAGGACTGAGGCAGGAGAATCACTTGAACCCGGGAGGCGGAGGTTTTGCAGTGAGCCGAGATCGTGCCACTGCACTCCAGCCTGGTGACAGAGTGAGACTCCGTCAAAAAAAAAAAAAAAGAATTAATAATAACAAGTGGTCAATATAAGCAGAACTTTCTTATGTGATATCTATTGACCTTTCATTTCAAATACCTACCCAAACCACAAATAAAGCAATGTGCATTTCTAGCTAAGGTAATAAAGAATATCTTCTTTTTCCATACTCATTTTTTCTGCTCAGCAAATAAGACCTCAGATGACCCCATTAACTAATTATGTGCTGCTGCTTCTTGTGTGAAAGGAATTAGCATTGCTCAAAAATAAAATCAGATCGATCAACAGGATCCCCCACGAATACACTTCACATTTTGTCCTATCCCCTTTCTGGCCACCGTTTTTCTGCTCTTTGCAGGCAATTAGCAATAAATTGTTGTCCCTGTGCAACAGCCAGCATCCCTTTGGCCTGGAAAGAGGGGGAGTTGCTACCAACATTGGTTAAGTGACTTTCATCATTCACCACCAGTCCTACACAGACCAATTTGGGTCAACTATGTCTTTGATATTTCCTTTAGGTGTGTTCTGCCATTGCCTCCCAAGCTGCCTTACAAAGGTCTCCAGAATCATCCTACCCGAGCCTGTCAATGTACACTCAGATACACACCCCACCAGCAGTGTGAGCAGAAGGATGAATGCCAGGAACTTGGGGATCAGGACACAGTCCTGATTCCAGATTGCCTTTTCCTCTCCGGCAAATCAGAATTCAATTCAACCATTTTCTGTTTGGTGAGGGAATTGGGGGAGGAGATGAAGCCTCTAATTTGAAAAATCAGTTGAGAAAGCCAAAGTGTAAGCATGTGAAAGGGACAGCCCTGGAGTTTAATTACCTATGAAATTAATGATGCCAAACGAATAAGCCTTTGGAAGCAAGGAAGTGGTGCCCAAATGATTGAAGACACATGGTGACAGGCAGAAGGGCAAGCCCCGAGAGCCAGGGTAGTGTGAGTCAGGCGGGCTCTGCTGAAAGAGCCCTCTCACCTTGCAACAGGGGTAGGAAGAGAACAGGAGGGAGGTGGGACTGAAAGCCGAGTTAGGGAAGCTAACCAGGCTGGTGACTAATATCGAAGCATCATCCACAGGCAGCAAGACCAGCCTAGGGCCTGGGGGATTGAAAAGCAACCCTAGCCTTGAGGAGCTGGGCCAGAGGAGCAAGGCAGAAAACACAAAATCCACACCAGCTGGGTGGGGCTTCAGAACGGGTCATGGGACTGGGGCATGGGACTGGGGGAGGGCATGGATCTGGAGTGTTAGAGGGGAAACAAATCAAACTTTGGTGTGAGGCTCAAAGCACAGGCCTGTGCTTACAACCTGGACCACAGCAAGGTGGGGAGCAGAGAGTATATGGAGGAGGATACTGTTTCGGGGATGCCACCTGACTTCCAGAGCACCGTATTCCAGGTTGAGTGGGTGGTGGGAAGGCCACCTGACTCTGAGGACAGTACAGGGTCTGCAGGTGTGGCTAGCAGCATGACATGACCTGCTGACAGGGGTGAGGAAGCTCTGATTCAGGCCAAGCCCATCAGGGCTCCAGACACTGGAGTCATTCACAGGCTCCACTTTAAGGTGCTGGGAGAAGCCATAGGCAAGAACTGATCGGGAGGAACCAGATCCCAGTACGTCTCCCGCTCTTCACCTACATAAATCTCACACATTACATGGTCTCACCCTTGAAATGACTCCCTGGGCCATACAAAGTGGCCTTTTGTCACTGTGGGGAGGGGACAGGCCTGGGAGATCAGGTGACATAAATGGAGGTGGAACTGGGTGAGAGGTGGGGATGGGGAGAGAAAAAGAGGAGAAAGAGCTTGCTCCAGAACAATGAGGTGCAGCCCCAACAAGTGGTGATTCAGGTCTCTACCTATCCCCCAGGGTGTTGTGAGACTCAGAAGGCTGTTTCCTAGGAGAAACATGCATGCTGAGAGAATGCAAGTTTCCTTCAAGTGGAACGGCATCCTTCCTCTCTGGACAGTAAGCCTATGTGCACAGAAGGGCAGGCTTGACAAGGGCACTGTCAGAAGCTGTGTGTGGAGGATAGGCTCACAGGCCAGACCCCAGACTCAGGTTCAAATCCAGGTTCTAAGAGTCGCTAACGGTGTTAGCGTAGGCAAGTCAGCTGCAGCCTTTCTGAGCTTCTGTTTTGTCATCCATAAACAGCATTTACAAAAGCATTGCTGGGAGGATTAGACTGAAAGAATGCAAGTAGGATGCTTGCACAGAGCCTGACACATACGGGAACCTCAGTAAATATTTTGTGCTAATAGTAGCAGTAATAGTATATTCTGATCCAGAGGCCATGTGAATTCATTTTGAGAACTTACCACACCTCTACCAGGCACTAAACACCCAGCAGTGAAAGATAAAATGAAAACTGACAAAGTAAGAAAATTGAAATGACATAGTTGTACCCAGAAAACAAGATAAACATCTTGTGGACCAGAAACAACACAGAAACTCTACATAGTTAAGCAGGGCGGAGGCAAGCAGAGGTGGGCCCTAAGGGCATTGGCGACTGGGTTTGAAGACATGCAGGGGCAGCAGGACAGGAAGCCTAGCTTTGATCATCCTCTTCCATGCTGTGTTAGTTGACAAAGACTACCTGGGACTGGGCAATTTACAAAAGAAAGAGGTTTTAATTGGACTTATACTTACACGTGGCTGGGGAAGCCTCACAATCATGCCGGAAGGCAAGGAGGAGCAAGTCATGTCTTACATGGATTGCAGCAGGCAAAGAGAGAGCTTGTGCAGGGACCTCCCCTTTTTAAAACCATCAGATCAGCCAGGTGCAGTGGCTCACGTCTGTAATCCCAGCACTTTGGGAGGCTGAGGTGGGCAGATCATCTGAGGTCAGGAGTTCAAGACCAGCCTGGCCAACATGGTGAAACCCTGTCTCTACTAAAAAAAATACAAAATTAACCGGGCGTGGTGGTGCATGCCTCTATTCACAGCTACTCGGGAGGCTGAGGCAGGGGAATCGCTTGAACCCAGTGGGTGGAAGATGCAATGAGTCGAGATCAAGCCATTGCACTCCAGCCTGGGCAGCAAGAGTGAAACTCCATCTCAAAAATAAAAAACAAATAACAAAAAATAAAATAAAAATAAAATAAAAAATAAAACCATCAGATCTCATGAGACTCATTCACTATCATGAGAACAGCACAGGAAAGACCTGCCCCCATGATTGAGTTATCTCCCACCAAGTCCCTCCCACAACATGTGGAAATTCAAGATGAGATTTGGGTGGAGGACACAGCCAGGCCCCCAAGCCGGTAGAGGACACACAGTATCACATGCCTTTGTAGATTGTATAGTAATCATCATTTACATCACTAGCCTCTTCACCCCCAACCACAGACAGAGAACTTCTCCAGCACAGAAATTGGGTTGTCTTCATCTTTATGCTCTGCACTTCTCTTTGTGCCAAGTGTACGGTCTGTGTTCAAAATAAGAGAGAAATAAAAGGAAAAGGCTGGTGAAATGTTATAAACTCACAAAGAATCAGATGGACCTAATATCTGCTTTTAAAACCTATCCTTGCAGTTCTTGAGGAGAGGCCTGGGAATCCCCACTGATGTAAATAGGTTGAGGGTTCCCATCTCTGCTTTGCTTTGTATTAGCTATGTGACTAGGACCATCAATCAAGGGCTTATATGTTATCCTGTGAATGAGACTTGCACTGAATGTCTCATTTTCCCCTGGTCACTGTGACGCCATACACGTAGCTGTTATTTCTGTACATTTCCACTCCATGTTCATACAGTGGAAATACCCTTCCCTATACCTTTCTCCTTTCTAGGGAAATGGATAAGCAAACAGATCTATGGGATCTTTAGAAAGGCCTTGAAATAAAAGTTTGGATCTTCCTTTGTCTCAAGATCAAAATGTTTTCATTTCCTTTGTTCATTTTTCTATTACAGACCTCACATTCCAGTCAGCAAATTAGTTGTTTCAGAATCCTATGATACTTATATCAGTAGAAGTTTCCAAGTAACAAAAGAAATAATAAGTGAATGTAAAAGTAAAGGTAAGTGGTTATTATTCTGAGCTCCATCTTTACATACGTGATTATTTCTCTATAATGGTTAATAGGCTATTCAAGATGTTTCAACTTGCTTTGGCTAACCAAAGAAATGTATTTCCAGATTTTCTTCCAGATACTTTTACATTAAATGTGTAATATTCTGTGAGTATCTAAAATGGTAGATATTCCAGGGGTTTATACCAGACTTAGTTACTATTCTTAATGACTTAAATTCTGCATTATAGCTATTCTTCTTGCACCCTGTGAGATTCCCTCTTACAATTTCCAAAAGCTCTAGCATGCCACTGTTTTGCCTATCATTGATCTAGCAGGATGCACACCTACACACAACACACCTACACAGATACACACACCTTCCCTGCTATCACCAAGAGCAGTGTTCTGTAAGGCTCAAGTGTGTTTGCTATTGAATTTTCTAAACATTGAGCTCAAATATTTAACATGTAAGATTGTTCACTATAAATTTTTTAGTGAAAAAGACAGATTGCAAAAAAAGTGTGGACATTCCCTTCATCTCTTTTTTTTTTTTAAGTTAAAATACTTATATTCAAATGGTAGACAGCCATGAGCAACAGTATTATGGATGATGCCCACCTTCCAGTTTTCATTGATTAGCCAGTCACTGCCATAAAGGTACACAACATGTTCTATCAACCAGAAAGTCTCAAGTACTCACAGTTCTACAGTGGGAGCATTTAAAACTATATTAGAAGGAGTAACCCAGAGAGCCCTGTGGACCTACAGCAGTTCTGTATCTTGATTGTCATGGTGTTACACAAAGCTACACATATGATAGAATTGCATGAACTGTATCGTCACATACACACAAACTACTGTTTGCACACCTGCTAAAATCTGAATACGCTGTGTGTATTGCACCAGCGTCCATTTCCTGGGTCTGATACTGTACCATAGTTATGTAAGATGTTACCATTGGAGGGAGCTGGGAGGAAGGGTTCATGGGACCTTGCTGGTATGTATGTATATGTATTATATGTAGCCCTCCCATAAGTCAATAATTATTATTATTATTATTACTGAGACAGGGTCTTGCTCCTGTCACTCAGGCTGGAGTGCAGTGATGCAATCATGACTCACTATAGCCTCAATCTCCTGGGCTCAAGTGATCCTCCCACATCGGCCTCCCAAGTAGCTGGAACTACAGTCACAGGCCACCACACCCAGCTAATGTTCTTTTAATTTTCTGTAGGGACAGGGTCTCACTATGTTTCTCAGGCTGGTCTCAAACTCTGAGCTCAAGTGATCCTCCCTCCTCGTTCTCTCAAAGTACTGGAATTACAGGGATGAGCCACCACACCTGGCCCCATACATCTGTAACTATTTTAAGATAAAATGTTTTCTTTAAAAAAATTAGGCTGCCTTATCAATAACAAAGCACTTACAAAATATTGCTTAGGCAAATTGTCTTTTTCTTGAGTGTGTTTGCTCCCCTCCAGAGCATTTAGTTAGCTTCCAGTATTTGCAGTTTCCATGTCTTTATAGAAACAGTCTTCCCATTCCTTGCCATTTTCCCCCAGGAAATAACATCCTGATTGTGGCCCACGCATCTTCCCTTGAAGCTTGTACCTGCCAACTTCAGGGCCTGTCACCTCAGAACTCCAAGGACTTCGTACAAATGGTCCGAAAGGTAATTCATTCTCGCTCTGTGGGGTCCGTGATGGCTAGTAGTTTGAGGTCAGCACAGTGACTGGCTGATTACTAAGTTCTTTGAAGCATGTGTTTATGCTGAGCTGGGAATATTCATTTATTGATTCTCTCAACCAAGACGTATTGAGTGATACTCTGTGCAGGGCACTTTATTAAGCCTTGTGTTAGAAAAACAATGTATTAGAGCTAGTTCTAGCTTCTAAGAGCTAAAATGTAGGAAGCAGCTAGGAATTATAAGCAAATTGTATGGATTTCCCTGAGGGACCTTCTTTGAATTTCCCCGAGGGAACTTGGGGTTGGATCAATAGAGGTCAGTCCAAAAGACAGCATCTGAAAGCTTAACTCAAACACAGGTCCTTGAAGGTAGGCTGAGGCATGCAGCAATTTAAAATGAGGAGACTAAGAGGCAAAGCCAGGAACAAGACAGCAAGACAGAAAACCCATGAGGCTGACCCACACATCTGGAGTCTTCCTTTCTGTGGGAGAGGTTCCCTGGTCAGCTGCCTCCCACACACTTCCCTTCCGGCGAATTACATACTTCCTTTCTCTGCCACCAGAGAAACTGGTTCAAACTCATTCGCAATTGTTTTTCACATTTTTGAAAAGTTTATTTATGCATCTGTCCTCATTTGTCAGTGCTGGAAGACAGAGAATTTTGTCTTGTTTGTAAATGCAGCTCTCTGGACACAGACAAAAATAAGTTTTAAAATTGCTGTGACAACTGAAGTGAGGGAGAGCACAGCTTCAGCTTTGAATGTTACAGAGACTCATAAGGAGAAAAAAAAAATGGGTGAAACAAATTTTTTTAAATTGGAGCATCTTTTCCATTGGGTCCAAGTATAATTTCAGAAATGTTTGAGCTGCCTTTTTCTTTTCCTTTTTTTTTTTTTTTTTTTTTGAGACAGAGTCTCACTCTGTCACCCAGGCTGGAGAGCAGTGACACAATCTCAGCTCACTGTAAACTCTGCCTCCTGGATTCAAGCGATTCTCCTGATTCAGCCTCCCAAGTAGCTGGGATTACAGGCACACGCCACCACGCCCAGCTGATTTTTTGTATTTTTAGTATAGACGAGGTTTGCCATGTTGGCCAGGCTGGTCTTGAACTCTTGACCTCAAGTGATCCGCCTGCCTCGGCCTCCCAAAGTACTGGGATTACAGGCATAAGCCACTGTGCCTGGCCTTAAGCTGCCTTTTTAACTTGACTTGCAATTAGGAATTAACTCCTGACATTGTAGCCTTATGTATTTTGGTCCTCTTTTTCTGTATTAAACCTATCTTCTAATATCCCCTTCCTTTACGACTCTTACTTCAGATCCCATATCTGGGATTTTGTTCCTGTGAAGAATTAGGAGAAACTGGAATATGGCAGCTGACAGATCCACCAATCCTTCCTCTTACCCATGGACCAACTGGGGGCTTCAACTGGAGAGAAACCTTGCTTCAAGAATAAACCACACCAGTGAACAAGACGGAAAGGCCTTTTGGAGACGTGTCTTTTTGTGTGTTTAAAAATCCACACCACACTCTAAGTGGACAGCTCAGAATAATTTAGCATTTCCTTTCACACTTAAAGTTCTTAAGATGAGACTATGTAAATGAGAGAAAGACTTGATTCAGAGGAAAAAAAATGTGTTCTCTCTGGACTCTTGCCTAGCTCACAAGGCTTTGGAGAATTGTCTCCCTAACTTGGGGCACCTGCTACAGAAGAGAATGTTTCGTTCCTTCCAGGTATGCACAGCTAAGGGGCCTCATTCCTCCCAGAGGGAGCTGCTGGCCCGCTCTAAGGGGTACAGGAGGAAGGAGTGTGCCCAGACCAGCTGGGGGAGCATTGAAAGGGCAGTTTGGGGATGGAATTTTTTTTTGATCTCCATTTTCCAGTTAGGCAGAGCCAAGCTGAGGAATCCTTTTAAGATTATTAGAAAACATGCCCTGAAGAGAGTTGTTCTTAGGTTACACGTGAAATCCTACCCTCATAGCCCCCATACACCGGTGTTGCTGGCTGAAGACACCTGCTTAAGGATGCTAACATTTACCCTGGTACTGCCACATTCTCTCTAGAGCAGCTGGCCCTTCTTGCTACAGCCCTTCCCACCCCCTTGCTTCTGTGAAATGGAGAGACAAAGCACTTTTGCTCTCCAAAGCACTTTTGGATACTCAGGAGGAAAGATAAGATACGTGTTTGAAGTATTCAATCATAGGAGCAAAGAACTTGCAAAATATGAAGTGACTTGGAATTACCCGTGTTGTAGCCTAATGTGCTACTGCATTTCTAAATCACCAATATTTGCTTGTCTTTGCCTAGGGGCAAAGCCTAGACTCTAGACTCATAGTCTAGACTCTAGACTATGTTAACTAGTTAAGGATGTTACATTTTGAAAGGATGTATGTTAGATATATTACTTGCAGCAAGAAGTTCACTCTGTGCAATATGGACGTGTTTGCAAACCATACCAAGGGTCAGGTTGCTGTACACTTACAGTACATGTCAACCATAACAGAACATCCACAAATGCATCAATTATACCAGGGATGTATAGTAAGTCAGGGAACTAATATAAATGATGACAGTCATGGCTGCACTGCTACTTGTGCTGTCGTTTTGTTTGTTTTTCTATGATAATTTAAAATATATAGGTAGGGCTACTTGAGGAAATTTGGAGAGCCACATTCTGTGGTTTCTCATTATACTTCCTGCATTTAGAGGGAGTTTATTTAAAAGAAAAATAAATGACAATCAAACCAAATCATCAGTTATCAATGTCTGTTTAATTGTGTGACTATCTGACTGTTGATGGCCACAGACGATGGTCTCCTATGGTATAGTTCACTCTGTAGAAGATGTATGCAAAGTGAAACGCCAGCCCTTTAAAGAAACAGTAGTTAGTGTAAAATGAATGTTTGTATGTTGCAGTAGCATTGACTGTGTTTCAAAACTCAGATGCATAAAACATGAGGTATATAAAAATAGATCTATGCCTGTATTTGAAACTACAACTTGATAACCCCTAGAAAGAAGAGGACATGAAAGGATGCTGGCTATATATGTTAATCAGCAAAAGGATTACAGTTGTTTTGTTCTGTTTTTAGAGACAGGGTCTCACTATATTGCTTAGGCTGGTCTTGAACTCCTGGGCTCAAGCGATCCTCCTGCCTCTGTCTCCTAAAGTGCTAGGATTACAGGTGTGAGCCACCACACCTGGCCCATAGTTGTATTTTTTTAGGTCACTTAGAAAAATATGTCATGCATTTTACATTTTGAGAAACAAATCATGGTTTCTTCTAGCATTGCACAAACATTGACCCAGCTTCTGGGTATGGAAATAACCCTGTGGTGACATGTTAATATAAAATGTTGGGGGGGAATATTCCCAGTAAAGGTCTTAAAAGAAAAGTCACATTACAGCTAATGTAATGGCCCTACCATTCATTCTTCTGGTATTTGTAACGAAGTGAATCTACTGTTTAATCAGATCCATAATCTTTAACAGATTCACCACAAATTTTTTGTGGGCGTTGAGTGCTCAGAATAATGCTTGAACGCCTCACCTGGAAACTGTAGCAGTGTGTTCTGGGCAGTATCTGTAATGTATGAAATAGAGTCTGGAATAGGTTATCCACTCCATCTCTCTAGGTTATCTTAGTCATATGATGGCCTGATAAATCTGTCTGACTGGGCTACAATCCATTGTTCTTAGTCCAATATGGACACTGCCTTAGGCAATGGTCTATATAAGCAAAAGGAGATAGAGATCTGAAATAATTTTCTGAATAATTTAGGTGGAAAACAAGAAAGAGTGTATTTCTCTGCTTTCATTTCAATTTCATTATTTCAAATTGCTTATCAAAACGGCCCAAAAGATCTGAATTCACATTAAGTTCTCCTTGCACACTTACCTACTTAAAAAACTAAACTTGGGCCGGGCGCGGTGGCTCACACTTGTAATCCCAGCACTATGGGAGGCCGAGGCGGGCGGATCACGAGGTCAGGAGATCAAGACCATCCTGGCTAACACGGTGAAACCCCGTCTTTACTAAAAATACAAAAAATTAGCCGGGCGTGGTGGCGAGCGCCTGTAGTCCCAGCTACTGGGAGGTTGAGGCAGGAGAATGGCGTGAGGCAGGAGAATGGCGTGAACCCGGGAGGCGGAGCTTGCAGTGAGCCCAGATCGCGCCAACGCACTCCAGCCTGGGTGACAAAGTGAGACTCCTTCTCAAAAATAAAAAATAAAAATAAAAATAAAACAAACTAAACTTGCACTGCAACTGAGAAATTATTTGGAAATCATGTGGAATCTATGTATAATCAAAGAAACAGACAGCTATATTACTCAATTTCATATACATCCAAAAAGTATAGGCTAATATTATATATAACCTGAAGTTGCAGCTGGTTCTTTTTGATCTGAAGCTGATGCTTATTAGAACAAATGATATATGGGGACAGGAGAAGGAAGGAAGGGCAAGGAAGGAATTGACAGATAAGAAGCAAATGGTTTCTTGTAGAGAGGAATTTTGTTTTAATGTAGAAAGTTATTTGAAATGAACTAGGTGAAATGAAATTAACTAAAGGTTTTAATCTGGGATTGAAAGCCTGAAACCGTTTCCTGCTTCTACAAGTGTGCCACATCAATCCGGTAATGCCCCAGTATTAGTCACAGATAGAACTTTGTTTCCTGTGATTTTAAAATACCGCATCTGTTCCTCCATGGACTAGAGTAATTGGCACATTTTAATGCATATGCTGGGGGTTTCATTTTCCCAGGCTCCCTTCACCATCACTGCATTGGTAGCTAGGAGCTTATTGCTTCACCCCAGTATGGAGTTCAGATGACAGTGTTTTCCATTACATTTAGATTCATAGAATCTGAATGGCTGATTAAATGGCCATCTGATGGCTGAAAGAGGGGCGTATTTTTCACTCTGTAGTGAAAGGCTTGGAGGAGTTTCTACTTTTTATTTTAATTATACTTTAACCAAAGAATTATTTTAAAGTAACCTTATATTTGAAAGATGATTTTGCAAAAAATAAAAAATAAAAAATATGTCTTCTGGAGTGATGTCTGTTTGGTAGATCATTGTGGATAATTTCCTTGTTAGTGGTATTTGGAATGCACATAGAGTGTCCTGTCACTGTGTTTAGCGTTACCATCAATGTATCTTTTCCACTCAACTAGCTGTATTCGTATTAAAATGAAGTCTGTTATTTCAATTACCTAGTGTCGTTGGGAACTAATTGAACAGCTACAGTAAGAGAAGTTCCTATCTCATTGCCTTTGTGGAAAGGCTTCCCTATGTGGTAAAAGGAAGGCATTCCTCCGTAACCTAGGCACTCTGCAAGTCCAGTGTTTAATTTCAAAGCAGTGATGAATTGCTCTTTTGAAATTACTCTAAGTAATCCATGTGTTAGAATACAGATGAACCTCCATTTGATTTCACAGGCTTCAGCACAGACAACTGTTACTGAGTCTGCACGAACTTAGATAATGAGGTGCAGGGTTATTTGCATTTAAATTGTAATCCAGCACACGTGTGAGAGAGAAGAGGCGCTAGTCTAAAAGGCTGCCTTGCGGGGAGAAATGAGACAGGCGGAGGAGGGTGGGGTAAGGAGCGATTTAACATCTATTTAGGTTAATGTTCACTTTACAAAGGTGATGGGGATATTTTGTTAGGTGATAGCAGATGCTTTTCATTTTTAAACATAGGATTAAAATTGGATTTGCTTCTCTTTAATACTTCAACATATTGAATTTTCCTAGGAAAGTGACTAGCTATAATGAAAATTCAAGGGAAAGGGGAAAAAGATTGTCTGTAAATGCAGATGAAATAACTTCATTTTAAAATACAAATAATAGTAGGTTTGGTGTATGTAGGTTTAAAATTATAGTGATGAGTAGTCAAACTTAATATACAATCAGTTCTTACAAATATTTTACACTTAGCTGCCATTACACAACAAATTGGAATTTTGCAGCTGTTCAACTATCATGGACTCTGTACAGGATAGATGTGTATAATGGGAAATATGTACTGCTTCTTTCTTTGATTGCCACTCAGGATGGAAACACCATGCCAAGGCATTTTGGTTATACACAGATCATTCTAAACCTGTTATTTTGGAGAGGTATATTGGTTTCTTTCTCATTTATAAGGCTATTGTATTTTTTTTCTATGTGATTCAGGTGTATTTATTTGAAGACTATTTGTAATTATAGGAAAACCACACCTACCTGTATTGCCAAATTCTTTGTAAACTCTCCGTGGCATTTGTGCTTTCCTGGCTGAGAGCTCTCCCCTGTTGATACAGCTATGGCACCATTGTAATTACAGGTGCACCTTTCAGGTGCATCTCCATTAAATGGTTCCTAGATGATTTAATAAAAAGAAACTTCTTAGTTGATCCAGAGCAATGTCATTTTAAATCTGAGTGGTCTCTTTCTATCATGTTTTCAGATGTTACTTTGTTCATTATTATTTCTTAAACGTGCATTCAGAGTGTGATTCTGTTTTCAAAAGGCCAGAGGACACTTGCTGCTGATGGAAGGGGAGGATGCTCCCGCAGCACTGTGTGTCTCTGGACCCTTCTGACCAGGCATCAAGCCTCCATGCCATTCAGACTGGGGAGCTGGACACCCACTGTGTGTGAAAAAAGCAAGCTTCAAAATGCTTCCCCTGCCCTATGTGCAAACTAGGGAACAAAAAATATCTTTCCTTCTACCTATCCTAGGTTCATGGCTGAGGCCCCTGTAACAAAAGATAGATTGACAAAAGAAAAAGCATATAAGTTTTTCATGTCTTGGGGCCAAGGGAAAGCTTCGCCTCTACCCTCTGAAGGTTCACTGAAAATAATTGACAGGAGGCAGATTAATAGAAAAAGCATATAAATATATTAACTATGTGAGCATGTAGAGTATCACAGAGTGAGTGCCCAATCTCCCAACGGGGTACAGAGGCTTATATACCCTACATCTTAGGGGAAAGAGGATGGGGAAGTGTGGATGATTTCAGGCAGATAGTAAATGATTTTTAAAGAAATTCAATGGACTTGAAGAACATACCATGGTCTGGGACAAAGTCGGTTGGACCCACAGAGTGGACAGTCATTTGGGACAAAAGTCTGTCCAGGTTTATTGTCAGACTTTAGTCTACCTTCCTGTGATGTGAGTTCAGTCAATGAAAACTCCGAGAAGGGACCAGAAGTAATTGTTTCCTTCTTTGGTAGATATGAGAATAACCTCATCCTGTGCTTTGGGACAGGTAGAGGACTGAAAGACAGGGGACAGAGGAAGGAAAAGCAATTATTCTCCTTGGTGGGTCTGTTCAGTCTTTATGTAGATAGGGGAAAGGTTTCTTCTAGCATCTGTTGATCCCTAAGGGCCTTTAATTCAAAATACTCAGCTGGGTGTTGTGGCTCACACCTGTGATCCCAGTACTCTTGGAGACCAGAGCCGGAGAACTGCTTGAGCCCAGGAGTTCGAGACCACCCTAAGCAACATAGCAAGACCCTGTCACTACAAAAAAATACAAAAATTAGCCAAGTGTGGTGGTGTGCACTTGTGGTCCCAGCTAATCAGGAGGCTGAGGTGGGAGGATCGCTTGAGCCCAGAATGTGTAGGTGACAGCCATGATCGTGCCACTGTACTCCAGCCTGGGCAACAAAGCAAGACTCAAACAAACAGACAAAAACCCAAAATACTCATTATACCAGGGAGCCATATTTGGGGGGGGAAGTTCCCTGTGTTCCTTTACATAACACAAAAACCTTCATACAGAAATGAAGATTTGAAGAAAACCAGTTAAACCTGAATATTTCAATGCAAAATTTGGTGAAGAGTAGACAGTCATGGAGAAACATGATAGAGCTAAGAGTGTGATCTAATGGTAATAAACTGGGAGGACTTAATGAGGCCTGTGTGTTCAGATTCCCCTGGGTGTCCCTCTGTCTTCAGAGATGAAGGTGCTCATTTTCTTTGGGTCTAGGGAAGACACCTTTCCTAGCATAACAGCTAGGAAACATAACCTGCTTAGGAAAGGTTAGAGTCCTTCCTAGGTTTTATCACCAATTCAGGGGAGAAGGGTGGGAAGGGAGGAATGGCCAAAGTGACCTTCCTGCTCCTGTTGTTTTCTCACATTCCTTCATCTTAAACTATTCAAAATGCTGAGATGCAGTATTTTCGGGTATTGTGCCCTGAACTCCATGTCACCTTCGTGGCTGACTACTACCCACCATCCACCTCAAGGAGCTGCACCAAGAATGATCCAGAGAGTGAGAATTTGGGTAAGAGAGAGGGCACATTCAGCTCAAACTAGGATCTGCACTTCTAAAAGTCATATACCATTTTTGTTTTGTTTTGTTTTTGTTTGTTTGTGTGTTTGTTTGAGATGGAATTTCACTCTTGTCGCCCAGGCTGGAGTTCAATGGCGCGATCTCGGCTCACTGCAACCTCTGCCTCCCGGGTTCAAGCGATTCTCCTGCCTCAGCCTCCCAAGTAGTTGGGATTACAGGTGCCTGCCACCACTCCCAGCTATTTTTTTTTTGTTGTTGTTGTTGTTGTATTTTTAGTAGAGACGGAGTTTCACTATGTTGGCCAGACTGGTCTTGAACTCCTGATCTCAGGCAATCCACCCACTTTGGCCTCCCAAAGTGCTGGGATTACAGGCATGAGCCACCACACCTGGCCGACCCTATTTTTTGAAGTAATTATGTGTTAGGCTAATAAGATCTTAAAATAAGCCTTGAATGCAAATTTGTACCAAGGACATGAATACAGATTTTCATTAACACAACTATCTACTACCTTGGCAGGGTTTACTTCCTGAGGAAACATAACAGCTAATGTTCATATGCGACAAAAGACCAGGCTATATTTAGCCTTCTGGCTGGTTCTCAGCGGTTCTCTGCTTGACAGATTCCCAAACTCATTCTGCTCTTTTGTGATGTATGTAAAGGCTGCTTGCACATCCAGAGAAAATGAATAATGTACTTGGGATTTGTTTAAGTTAAATCAGCAAAGTGTCTGTTTTTGGTTTTTTGTTTTGGGGGGTTTATTGGAAAGTTGTTTGAGGACCAAAAACAATCTTCTTCCTGAAGAAAGAAAATACTTCGCTGTGCCAGAAATAAGCATGTAAAAGCTCAGATGGCTTGGTTCTGGCTATGTAAAGAGGTAGAGGCGGCCGGGCGCAGTGGCTCAAGCCTGTAATCCCAGCACTTTGGGAGGCCGAGGCGGGTGGATCACGAGGTCAGGAGATCGAGACTATCCTGGCTAACACGGCGAAACCCCGTCTCTACTAAAAATACAAAAAAATTAGCCGGGCGTGGTGGCGGGTGCCTGTAGTCCCAGCTACTTGGGAGGCTGAGTCGGGAGAATGGCGTGAACCCAGGGGGCGGAGCTTGCAGTGAGCCGAGATCGCGCCACTGCACTCCAGCCTGGGAGACACAGCGAGACTCCGTCTCAAAAAAAAAAAAAAAAAAAGAGGTAGAGGCATGAAGGGGAACGTACCAAGGGAACTGGGTGGAAGATCAAAGGTGATAAAAGGAAGGAAAGACAGAAATGGTAACTGGTAAAGTAAATTTTAGAGGAGCCAGTTTGGAAGTTTTCCAAAAAGGCCAATGAAGTTCTAGTTAGCAAAAAGGAAAAAGAAAAAAAAAAAATGCCAGACGCAGTGGTTCATGACTGCAATCCCAACACTTTGGGAGGCCAAGACAGGCAGATCAGTTGAGGTCAAGAGTTCAAGACCAGTCCAGCCAATATGGCAAACCCTATCTCTACTAAAAATACAAAAATTAGCCAGGTGCGGTGGTGCATGCCTGTAATCCCAGCTACTTGGGAGGCTTAGGCAGGAGAATCATTTGAGCTGAGGAGGCAGAGGTTGCAATGAGCTGAGATGGAACCACTGCACTCCAGCCTGGGTGACAGACCAAGACTCTGCCAAAAAAAAAAAAAAAGAAAAAGAAAAAAAAGTGGGGGTGTGGGATAATTCAGCTGACCAAGAAGTTCTCATGGGAAAAAATATCCCAACAAGAAGAGAAAAGCCTTAAATATATATATAGTCTGAATATCACCTTTTAATTAAGCTGACTTCTGAGAATAATACTCTTTTAAAATGTCTTTTAAGTATATTATTACCAGTTTTGGGCAAACAGCAAACATTCTCATTTCCTGGCTTTTCTTTCCCTGAAGTTTGCATTTTAAGAGGGATGGTTTCTTAGGTAAGACAGGGGAAAGAATTGACAGGTACAGAGAAATACTGGAAGTTTTTAGAGGTTCAGGGTAATTAATAATCAAATTTTTCCTTTTGAGTATAAAGTACCTTTTTAGCTCAAATGAGAAGGGAGAAAACAAACCAACAAAACAAAACCAAAAAAAAAAGTTTTTAACATGCTCTGAATATAAACCAAAATTTTAATCCAAACCTATATTCAACAAGTGACTGAAGACTCAACTAATAAGCCCCTTTATGGCTTTAACCAAGGTGGCCCTTCCAAGATCCAGACCATTCTCACAGGACAGCCAAAGAAAGGAAAGCTTAGCAAGCCACAAATGGATGTAAACCCACATTTTAGTTTGGCCACGTTCTTGAGGCTCTCAACTTTTTGTTTGGCTGCCTGCAGCAAAGAAAGGTGGGATAATCTACATGCCCCTGATAAATGGAGAATCAAAAAGAAAGAACAGTCAGTAAGACAAAACAGGAAAACAAAAGTTGTCTGTGGCAGTGAAACCACTTTTGCAAATATTATGACTGAGAAAATTATTACAGTGAAAGAGATCTGACCTAACCAATTTTGTCTGGCTTCTAACCTCCAAGCTGTCCTTGTTCATTTCTAGGTGTAGGCCAAACTAACTTGGGGGAACTTAGTTTATAGTTTAACTTTGAAACAAAGACAATAACAGCCTTCTCCAAAAACAAACCCCCTTCTTGTCAGGGGACTATACTGCCTTTGTAGATTTAACAAATTAGCCACAGGATTAGAAATTATGGTTTAAGAGTCATTGCTGTAAAATCTGAGATCAGTGTTTGAGATATTTTGAAGACCCTGCATTGATTGATACACCAGCTGACGCCACCCAAATTGATAAACTGGCTCATCTGATTTTGTGTCATCCACGCAGGAACTGACAGCACAAGAGGACAGCTTCAAACCCCTGTGATTTCATCTTCAACCTGACCAATCAACACTCCCTACTTTCTGACTCTCTACACACCAAATTATCCTTTAAAACTCCCATACCAAAATTTTGGGGGAGATTGATTTTAGTAATAACTTTGTCTCCTATGTGGCATGGCTGGCCTCACATCAATTAAACTTTTTCTTTACTGCAATGCCATGGTTTTATTTGTGCAGTGGGCAGGAAGAACACATTGGGAAGTTCCAAATTTGAGGGCTCTTCCAGGATCACCCTTGTGACTCCTGCT